GGGGAGTATTGGGGTCCAGGGATGATTCTATTCCCAACAGAAGAGCCCACACATAAATAAGGCTCTGAACAGAAGATTCTCTCCTCCTTCTCCAGGTGTCTAACGCTGAGAATCTTAGGACACTTCAAGTTATTAGATAATATATTCTTAAATAGAAACCAACACTACTTCTGTCAGGCACTGGGCTAATAAAGACCTTATGTGCACAATCTCTTTAAATCCTCACAAATGACAGGTAAAGTCGGAAATCTTAGCCCCCTCTTGTAGATGAGGAAACTTGAAGCCCAGAGAGGGAAAATCCTTTGCCCAGGACCACCCAGCAGGTCAGGAACAGAGTGGGGATATGAATCCATAACAGATTCAAGAGCCCACCCTTGTCCTCTATCCTGGACTGCATTGTAAAGACTCAATGACAGACAGATATTATTCATTAGGAAGGACTACAGATCTGCCCCTGCCCTCCAGGAGTGGAGGGGTCTTTGGCGCCTAGAACAGTGCCAGGCTAGATCAGTATTTATGGAATAAACAGGAGGAGATCTTTCAGTCCTCTCAACTACCCAAAAGGAGGATATTCCTAGTTGTGTTTTATGGACGAAGCAGCAGGGGTTCACAGAAGAGCACACGGTGGAGCTGGGACACAAATCCAGGCTGTCTAACACCATGGCTTGGGTATTTCCCAGAATCGCCACCACCTCCCATCTGCAGTCACAATAAGGCTTTCATGATGCTCACCACATGCCGGGTGCTGTTCTAGACCTAGATGGGCCTCTCCACAGTCCTCAGGGGTAGGCAGCTTACCTGCATCCTACAGCCAGAAAAGCCAAGGCCCGTCCACTCACTCACCCTGCCAGGTAGGCCACATGGCCTGTGCTGGGGTCACAGGTCAGGCCACTGCTGTTCTGGGCTGTGATGCCAAGCACCTTCTCGAGCGACACCTGTGGGGGAAATGTCCAAGTCAGAAGGACATGTCCCAGTAGGCCCTCCGTGGCACCACTGCCTCAGCCACCCATTCAGTCCCTGTTACATCTAATACTAACTGAACTTCTACAGTCATGTGACCAACAGCTAACATTTGTTCTTCTCAATATTCCTTTGAAGGACACAGAACGATGAGGAAGACAGACAAAAACCCCTACCCTCCTGGAGCTCACATCCTAATCATGATGGGATGGAGGACATAAAAAATAAACAGAACAAACATGTAAAACAGATGCCAGGTGCTGATAGGAGCAGAAGAGAAAAATAAAGCAGGGAAGGAGATTGGGAGTATAGGGAAGAGAGAAGGCCTCATTGAGAAGGTGACCTCTGAATAAGTTTCTAAATATTTTACAAGGATGAAAAATTCGAAGCCTCACAACCCAAGGAAAGAAGGCACTATTATCACCCCATTTTACAGATGGGGACATTGAGGCCCAAGATCTCATGCCTATGGAGTGACAAAGTTGGGATACAAACCCAGCTAGTCTCTGGCTCCAAAGCCAGTCCATATGTTGGGCCCTGCAGGGGAGACACAGGTGTGAGCAAGAGTGGACACCATCTATTCCCTCAACAAATTTACAGTCTAGAGGTTCAACAAGTAAAGAAACAAGTGAACAATCACATTGAAAATTTTAAAATTCTCTAAGCAAAGTAATTTAAATGAGCAAATCTCTATTGTGGTTGATTAAAACAATTTAGAGTATAGACTAATAGAATTGTGATACTTTCATACTTTCTTTCAAAACGAAAGACTAGTTTCTTTTTTTTCTTAATGTTTATTCATTTTTGAGAGACAGAGAGACAGGGCACGAGTGGGCAAAGGGCAGAGAGAGGGAGACACAGAATATGAAGCAGGCTCCAGGCTCTGAGCTGTCAACACAGAACCCAATGTGGGGCTTGAACCCATGAACCGTGAGATCATGACCCAAGCCGAAGTCAGATGCTCAATCAACTGAGCCACCCAGGCACCCCTGGAATAGACTAGTTTCTAATTATTATTAAAGTAAAACATTCTCAAGCAAGTCCTTGGTATCAGAAATGAGAGGCATAGCATAATGATAGCTAACACTTACTGAGCATTTACCAGGAGCTAGGCACTGTTTAAATACCTGTAACTGTACCGACTCATCTAACACTCACAATAACCCTGTGATATGGTCATTATTGTCATCATCTCCATATTACAGACGAGGATATAAAGAGGCTCAGAGAGGTAACCCATCCAGGAAGGAGCCATACCAGGACTCTAACCCAAGCAATCAGGCAATGGCACTCACATCGTTTTTATATCTGTCAATCAGCATTACTGGGCATTAATATAATATAATGGTCATTTTTAGAGTAGATCTTTTGTAAGCCAGATGGACTCTGTGCCACCAAACAAGAGAAATAAATGACATCAATTACCCAAAAATACACAATCAAAACAGTAGTAGCTACCACTAATAGAGAATTTACAATGCGCCAGGTATTGTTCTAATGCTTAACATATGTGAGCTCACTTAATCCTCACAAACACCTTACAAGGGAATATTTATATTATTATCTTCATCTTACAGATAAGCACACTGAGGCACAGAAAAGTTCATAACAAGAAGAACAGAAGTGGGGTGCCTAAGTGGCTCAGTCAGTTAAGAGTCCAACTCTTGATCTCAGCTCAGGTCTTGATCTCAGGGTCATGAGTTCAGGCCCTGCATTGGGCTCCATGCTGGGCATGGAGAGAGAAGGGGGGGGGGAGGGTGGGAAGGGGGGAAGGAGGAAGAGGAGGGGGAGACAAAGAACAACAACAACAGAATTAAGGTTTAAGCCCAGGCATTCTGGGTCCAGAAGTTGCACTCGTTAAGAGTGCACATTACTTACTGCCTCTCTGAAATTGCTATTGTCATTCCTCTATTTTATACAGTTTAGTGCTCACAAGGTACTTTCAGGAACCTACAAGGTAAGGGCTGTGAAGTACAGGGTGCTAGGTGAGAGATTAAAGTAAGTGTCTGTTTTAGGCTGGGGGCAGGCCTCTCAGGGTAGGGATATGCAGGCTGAGACTTGAGGGATGAGGAGCCAGTCGGATGGACTGCAGCAAAAACCCAAGAGGACTCAGCAAACACTTAGGAGGTGGTAAAGAACTTGGAGCCTCAGGAAAACAGAAAGCAGGCTTGTGTGACTGAACATTTGAGAGAGAGGACCATGGAGGTATAGCCAGAGAGGTGGGCAGGGGCCACCAGGAACTGCAGCCAGAAAGGGGTGATATAATCAGAGCGCAGCAGGAAGCCATGTGGCAGGAAGAAGATCCACCAGCAGCTACCATGTTTCCACTCTCTAACTGGACTCTGCCAAGCAGGTCATAGTCACCATTTCATTTCTGCTCCCTGCAACCCCATGGTATGGTTATTAATACTTCTGTTTTATAAAAACACACTTCGTAGCTCAGAGAGTTGGAGAACAATTTTTTTTTAATTGCTGCTGTGCTAATGGAATTCCTTCTATCTACTCCAAAATCTTTGTTCGTGTGTCTAAAGACTTAGGGAACTGTTCTGTACTCCCTCCCGCAGGAAGCGTTGCTGAGATTTTACAATTATTCACATGTTCTCCATAATTTAGGGTGGCAATATGGAATAAGAATCCCACGTTGGTAAGGGAGAAGTAAAGAGAAGGCAGGTGAGGAGGGAAGGCGGAATAGCGCTGAGGGACAGTTTAGATAGGTAGGGTTCGATACTGAACACTGGTAGGGACCCTAAAGATCCAGCGTGGGGCGAGGTCACAAAAATGGAAGGGCCCAGAGAGACATCCAAAGGTGACTGAAGGGTTACGTAGGAAGGCGGGACTAGGTGATCAGCAGAACTAAAATACACTGAGGTAAGGGTCCAGAGAGAACCCCGAAAATGGTCCCAGGGCTAAGGGAGCCGGGGTTGACAGGTGGGCTAGAAATGATGGGTACCTGAGAGAGAAGGGAGAGTGGGAGGAGCCTTGGCTAACGGGGCGGGACGTAGGAGACGAAACGGGCTAGAGAAGACTAGGCGAGGGTTGATAGGCGGGGCCAACGATCTAAGGGCGGGTCCAGGGGAGCGTGGGAGGGAGCCTGGAACTGGAGTGGGCAAGGCAAACAGCTCCTCACCCGGTTGTGCACCGTGTCCTCCGGCGCCGCCGAGAGTCGGGTCCGCCGCCGGAGACACAGTTGGGGAGCGGGAGGCGGAGAGCACTGGTTCCTCCGCGCCGGAACTCCCACCGTGACGGATGGCAGCTTCTCGACTGCATCGTTCCGCGCGTAGCCTCCGGGCCCCAAGGCCGCCATCGTCGCGCCGGAGCAGGACAACCGTTGCACTCCCCAACTGCCGCCGACGCCTCCACGACCCGCTCAAAGAGCAAACGGCCCGCGGGAAAGCCGGCGCCGCCGCCCATTGGACGCGGTAGGCCCCGGGCCTGGCCAATGTCAGGGCTACCGAGCGGAGGTTTTGACCAATGAGGGCTGAGAGGCGGAGCGAAGTGTCTGGCAGGGTGGATCCATAGCTAGTTTACTTGCTGCCTGATTAAACAAAATGGCATTTTTATTGCGGTCTGTGTTTTCATCATTAACAAACGTTTAGGTTTTAACTTTTACGTAGCTAAGGCCAAAGCCTCCAAAGCCCCCAGTTCGCTTTTTGCAGCACTTCCCCCGCCCACGCAGTGGATAGTCACCCGGATATAAGGGTAGGGTGGGGCCGAAAGAGACCGACCACTTGGCGCAGGCTCAGAAAAGCCGTGACATCACCTGTCTCCCAGCACAAGATAAGGTCAGAGTGGCTAAGAACTGGCTTTGTGCCGTCCTACTCGCTTTTCCCCATTTGCCACGTGACCAGGGCGTAGTTGTGGTAGCGCGACTGGGCGCGTAGTGCGCAGCCGCCCTCTCCCCTTCCCCGCATGTGATAAGGCTTCAAGGGCCATCACGTGAGGCGGGCAGAGAGCGCGCGGGTGGGGCCGGGTTCTGTGGAGCTTCGCGAGGAGCAAAGTGCGGCTGCAGACTGGGCAGGACTCAACGGGCTTGAACAGCCATGCCCAAGTATTGCCGTGCTCCGAACTGCTCCAACACTGCTGGCCGACTGGGCGCTGACAACCGCCCTGTGAGCTTCTACAAGTGAGCGCAAGTGCGGGGCGGGGCTTGCGGGGCGGGGCTTGCGGGGGCGGGGCCCGAGGATAACTGCCCCTTTGCCCGGCACTGGTCCAGCCCGCAGGTATCTAGAAACAGGGTTAGCAAAGTGAAGAGACGGTATTTTCAGCAGTAAACACAGAACATGCAAAGGCGCAGATGTGCTAAAACGCAGGTGTAGACGATTAACTACAGGTAGTGAAAGGGGCGAGCGGAAGAAGTGGGACCGTAGGGAGGGGTCTACAACTGCCCGCTTGTCATCTCCACGAAGTTGAGGTATCTCAAACGCAAAACATCGGAAACTGAGCTCCTGATCTTGTCTCCCTCCCGAACCTTCCACAACCTTTCCTGTCTCGGTTAATAACTTACTTCATCTTACCTGTTGTTTAGGCCAGAAACCTTAGAGTCATCTCTCTACTCACACTTTTCTTTCTACTCACATCTACTCACATCTCTCTACTCACATCTTTTCTTTCTCACACTTAAAGTAAAAATTAGCTTGAACTGTAAAAAAACAAAGATAATTTTAAAAAATCTGTCTTCCTCTTTATTATTCCCCGGCTGGAATAAAAGACATGGGAAAGGCGGGCTGAAGAGTTAATAGGAAAAAATATTTCTATATTTTTCACAGGGACATGCAGCAGATGTAAAGTGAAAAAATTCCCCTTCTTTGACCTTTTTACTAGGAAACTTTGTTCTCTAAAATCCTAGACTATTGGGGTGCCTGGCTGGCTCAGTAGATAGAGACACTTGATCTCAGGGTCGTGAGCTCAAGCCCTATGTTGGGCATGGAGTCTACTTTTTTTTTTTTTTAATTTTTTTTTTCAACGTTTATTTATTTTTGGGACAGAGAGAGACAGAGCATGAATGGGGGAGGGGCAGAGAGAGAGGGAGACACAGAATCGGAAACAGGCTCCAGGTTCTGAGCCATCAGCCCAGAGCCTGACGCGGGGCTCGAACTCACGGACCGCGAGATCGTGACCTGGCTGAAGTCGGACGCTTAACCGACTGCGCCACCCAGGCGCCCCTACTTTTAAAACATTGTAAAAACATGGACGATGATAAACTTTGCTGTTTGAGATTATATCGGTAAAAATGAAACATCTCACTGAACACCTGGGGGAGTTAAGTCATTTTTACAATGAGAAGCAGCCTCAGTTTACAGTCCAGGGGCAGAGCTTCAGGTAAGGCATTTCTGGACACAGTTTTCCACATTGACCTAAACTGTATTGCTTCCAAGGAGACAGGACTCTGGACTCACTTTGCAATGCAGACCTAGTATTTATCCCTTCACACACAATTCTGCTTTGCTTTAAGCCTAGCTAAACAATTTCATTTACATTTCACCCCTTCCCCCAAATCCAAATAATAACCCTGTCTTTTCCTTTGTTTGGTGAGACTCCTTATAGTACCTCTGGTGTGCAGTTTCCCTCATTGCTGTGGTACATAAACCTGACTTTCTTTGACTACAGGTGTGTCCCTGGGGGCCTTAGTCTGAATCAGCCAGGACACATTCCTCATCCAGTCTGTCAGCAGATCCTGTGGGCTCTCCCTTTAAAAATCTATCCAGAATTGACCACTTCTAACCCCCTTCTCTGCCTCCATTCTAACCTCCTGACTGCACCATTTTAGTAGCCTCTTCATTGATCAACCCACTCCCACATTCTGATCTTCACACACAGTCACAGGGAACTTGTGTACACCTAAGTCAGATCAGAGTCCTCCTCTGTTCAGATCCCTCCCCTGGCTCCCACGTCACTCATAAAAGACAAGGTGAGGCTGGAGCAGACAGAAAGGCCTACAAAGCGCTACAGGAGCTCGATCTCCAGTCTCTGTATGACTCATCTCCCTCCTCCTTCTTCCCCCTTACCACTGTTCTCCAGCATCACTGGCTACTCGATGTTCCTCTAGCATGCCAGGCACATTGTTGCCCCAGGGGCTTTGTGCTTTGCCTTCTTTTTTTTTAAATTTTATTTTTTATTTTTTAAAATTTACATCCAGATTAGTTAGCATATAGTGCAACAATGATTTCAGGAGATTCCTTAGTGCCCCTTACCCATTTAGCCCATCCCCCCCACAACCCCTCCAGCAACCCTCAGTTTGTTCTCCATATTTATGAGTCTCTTCTGTTTT